CATCTGAATTGGAGATTTTTTTGGACTAAAGTGCTATTTTGAATACTGGAACTCAATGCACTTATTATCTGAAATGATGACATGCATTGCAACAAGCGCTACACAAATAAACGTGCACTGAATTGAATTCGCACTTGGTCACTTGACATTTATACCTCATTATCACGTGCGCCCATCCACACCTCACACCATTCGCCCTTGCAACAATAATATTAACACTATAGCACTGCCGTTTACATGCTCGCCGTGTTTCATTGGCTCTGCGCCTCCACAATAGCCATAATCCGACTTGGACGAGCGGGAGACTCTTACCATGAGCACGGCGAGGTTGTTGTGGTGCGCGCAGTGGATGGTGGTCGTGTTGTGCGCGGAGCCCGTTATGTGGCAGCCTTCCGCGCGCCAGCCGCCGTGTCCATCCAGCAGGTCAAAATCCCAGTATGCCGCGGTGGGGTCTACACCCAACAAGAAGTGCCGGAGAGCGACGGTAACCGTCTGCACGGGGCTCCCGGGGCTACACCCATCTGCACAGGAGAGCAACACATTGCGTCAAGTAACGACACGAGTGGAGAGTCCTCAAGTGTTGCATCCATATGGAAGCTGATGCATGCAATCACGCACACGCACGGAGATGTGCATCTCAGAATTTAACAAATGAGCTTAACTGCGCACGCAAACAAGTCTAATCTAACTCGTGCACAATTGCAACAGTTGCAACGCGCATGCTTTCTCATAATTGCACGTGACGTTATTGACAAAATATTCCATTGCAAACCACTTATTTGCCGAAACGCAGTGGTGTATTGGATGCACGAATGGAATGCATGGGAAAAATCGCAGCCTTACCTAATTTGGTGAACGCAACTGGTGTCGAAACGCTTCTGCGCTTGCCATCGTCCGCAAGATTTGACGAATTCCCCGTGCACGGAAAGAGTTTTCCATTGCGGAAGACGATCAGCTGCAGCTTACAGGTGCAGTTCTCCACAGACCGAGGGGTAGCCAGCGGGAAATGTATGGAGGCGATGGCCACCGTGTTCTGTAAACGGAGAAACGCATGTGAGACATGTGCATCTGATGCGCAGACGTGTGTCAGCTCCTGTCTGATTGAGAGAGAAGGGCAAAGTGCTGGAGGAAGCAGGGGTTTCTGCTTGTCTTTGGTCTGCCGCAGAGGTGGAAATGATTGTGAGCAGCACAGCTCACTACAACATCAGTTTAAAGCAGCAGTCTGATAAAAACAGCACAGAACCAGAGGGGTTATCAGCATCAGCATCATCAACCTAGAAGAGCTTCACCTCTTTATCTGTAAGGATAGTGGGGAATATGTCAATGTCTGCTGCAGATGCTAAAGGCGAAGATAAACATGCTATTTTGGCCTTCTGAAAACGCATTTAAAATTAAAGCGATAAGCAGATGTTGATGCAGAGACAGTGTTTTTGCAAAGACATTTTAAAAGCAGAACATGTGCTAAAAAGATTAAGCTGCGGTTCAGTTGAAAATCATTTCATGATCAAAACT